GAGGAGACTTAGACCCCGGTTCCGAAGCCGGTGAAGGATAAGAAGAGGAAAAGGACCTCAACCTTCGAGGATCCAAAGCCTAAGAAGAATCCGGTTCGTAAGCCGAAGAAAGACATTGTTGCCCTGCCTGCGGATGTGATTCAATGGCTAAGGGAGGAAGAAGAAGATGATGAAGACGATGGCTAGGAACTGGTGGCCCGAGTGAAGAAAACCATCGAGGCCCCAAAGTCCGCTGAGTCGGTGGTGGTTGAGGAGATTCTGCCTCGAGCCGAGGGGGTCTTGGAAAAGGACTCGGGCAAAGTCCCCGAGTCATTGAAGATCGAAGATGCCTCCCGTCGAGATGAGCAAAATGCGGGTATGTCTAAAGGGTCCGGCTCTGAGGCCCTTCACAGCGAGAAGAACTCCCCAAGTGGCTCACTTGGGGCAATAGATATTGGAGACTCGCTGATTCTCCCTGCGTTTTCCGAGGAGGCAATTCGGGAGGCCCAATCTACAAGGACTCCCGAAGTAAACGAGGGCCATGGAGGGGAGGACCCCTTCTGTGGTTACTTTATCGGGGTCGAGGATGCTACCGACCTGAGTGAAGCATCGAGTCTCCTCGATAAGGCTTAACAAGCCTTGAATCGGGTGAGTCTCAACTCCCTTTGTCGATATCATTCTTAGTTTATTTCTTCTCTTCCTGTCTAATTTCCTTTCTTTTATCCGTATAGGCTTTGGCGCTCCATCAGGAGGCATTTTCAAAGTCCCGAGCAGAGCTGAGCCGATGTGAGGCCGACCTCCGAGGACTCACAGAGGATAGAAATGCCCTTAAACTTCTCAGTGGGCAAAAAAAAAGAGGAGATCAAGGACCTCCGAGCAGAGTTGGCCAAGGCTCACCAAGATCAGACCGACCTGATCGAGCAGGTAATGAAAATCTTAAAAGCTCATGGGTTCGATTCGGGAACGGTGGCTAACATTTCAATTTCACAGCTGCAGCAGAAGGTCGAGAGGATCGAGCAGTTCCGCGAGGAGGTCAACATGATGAAGGCGGAGAACTTGGGGTGGAAAGAAAGTATGGACTGCTTTGCTGCTGAAAAAGAGGCTGCTCGAGCCCAATTGTCATCGATCGAAAGTCATATTCGAGGCATGAAGGAGAAGAGCTCAGCTTAGGCAAAGAAAATAGAGGAGCTCGAGGCTCATTTGGCTTCCGAACTTGCAAAGGCCAAATCTGAAGCCGAAAAGGCAAAGGCCGAGGCAGAGGCGATCGTGGCCGTCTACCGGGCCGATGTTGAAGCCGCTCAAGTCCAAGCGCGAGAGCTAGCTGAGACTGCTCAAACTCGAGCACATTGGATTGCTGAACTCGCCAAATGAAAATCTCGGAGGGAAACCCTCGAGGAGATCCATGCTCGAGGTTTCAATCTTACCGACGAGATAATAAAGGCTAAAGATCATGAAGCTAATGCTAGAGCGCTGGCCTCTTCCGATGATGATGGCAACAAGAGCGGGTCCGGGAATGGGGAGGACCTCGATGGAGAAGAAACTGCCCCTGAGGAAAATTAGGAATCTTAGGCTTTTTTTCTTTTTTGATTTTTTGTGTGGGACCCTGATCGGTCCTTGTAATTATTTTCGTATAGATAAAAGATCTTTTTTCTCTTTGACTTGTCTCTATTCTATTTCCTACCTCGTAAAAATTCTATTTTATTCGTGCTTTCTTGCCTTATGGAGATTTTGCTCACAAGTTTGGGACTTTAGGCAACTAGACCGAAGTCGGACCAGTGTAGTCTTTAAAATCGAGTGAGTACTTTCTTGAACTCGAAGTAAAATGACCCTTAGGTTTTAGTTGAGTAAGGACGATTTCTCCAACTCAAAAAATAAAATGTCCCTTAGGCTCTTGAATTAGGCCGATATTGCCTCAAAAGAATGGCTTTTCCCCTTTTTCAGATTTAAAAATTAATCATAAAAATTTGTCATGCCTTGGCACGAGATAAATTTGTACCCATTAGGTTTTTCAAGGATTTTTGTTATAGAAATCATTTGCTTTGTTATGCCTTAGCACAAAATTATCCGGGAGTTCGAACAATTCGCTACCCCTTAGGGTTTTTCGAGGGTCGATATTATCGAGACCCTTAGTAATTCAGCCGAGATTTGCCTTTTTTAACTGGTTTATGAGAATATTTGAAGGCCTATTTTATAACGGAATTCAGACATCTCTGAACCATGTTGATTTGGCTGTAGCCTTTAGTTTGGGATTTGCCCATTGGGCTTGTTTCCCTGCTATACTTCGAACTCGTTCGAAATGTCAGTCCCCGAGTGGGGTGGTCGTGGCCTATAAAATCGAGGATTGCCTTTTTAAGGTCTTACGATTTCGAGGTTTAGTAATTCGATCATGTCGATTTTTTGGACGGCAGTCCCCGAGTATAGGGTAAATTATTTGTACTTGAGTTGTGATCGGCCCTTAAGCCAGTTTCCACAATAGATCATAAGTATGAAATTGTAAAGTATAAATTTCTCTAAGGCATGGAACATCTGGTAAGGAAAAATACTTCTTTCAATAGATTATACATGCGTACATGTTTTGCCATTAGGGCTCGAGTAATCTACATAGACACGGTTCATTTGACCGTTTGGTTCTTTACCTATTGAGACCTTGTCGACATGAAATGTTTTCCTTGTAACTATCCGAGGGTGATGCCCCCCAGTATTCGAGGTTGATTGTAAAGGAGCCTCGGATACTATTGAATTGTTGTAAGTTAGCACGAACAATAATTGCCTCGTTAAAAACCTCACCGGAAAAACCCATTTGGGACAAAAATCGGTCTAAGGGAAAAAGAGTGCAACGCTTGCTTTCAGACCTAAGTACTTTGTGTTTGAAGAATCCTTTGGTGTCTTCGATTAAACACCTGCAAATGGTTAGTATAAAATATAAACGAAAATGGAGAAGGTCGTACCTTAGCAGTAATATCGTTTGAGGAGTGATATGTTCCAATTGTTTGGTAATTTCGTCGTTCATCGTGCCAAGTTTGTAGGATCCCTTTCCGATGATATCGAGGACCTGATGCGGTCCCTCCCAGTTTGGGCCAAGTTTTCCTTCATTTGGGTCTCGAGTATTAAGGGTGACCTTCCTCAGAACCAAGTCCCCGATTTTAAAGTGTTGAAGATTGGCTCTTCGATTGTAGTACCTTTCGATCTGCTATTTCTGTGCGGCCATTCAAATGAGGGAAGCTTCCCATTTTTCATCTAACAATTCGAGGCTTGTATTCATAGCCTCGTGGTTTGACCCTTCCATTGCATATCAAAACCTGACGCTATGTTCCCCGACTTCAACCGGGATCAGAGCTTCGGCATCATATACTAAAGAGAACGGTGTTGCCCTCGTACTGGATTTTGACATTGTTCGATACGCCCAAAGGACTTCGGGCAATATTTCTCTCCATTTTCCCTTAGCGTCGTTCAATCTTTTCTTTAGATTTTGAATGATGGTCTTGTTTTTCGATTCGTCCTGTCCGTTCCCACTAGGATGATATGGCGTCGACAGGATCTTTATTATTTTATGATCTTAGAGAAACTTTGTCACTTTGCTGCCGATGAAATGCTTTCCATTGTCGCATACGATCTCGGCAGGCATCCCGAATCGGCATATAATGTAGTCCCAGATGAAGTTTATGACTTCTTTCTCTCTAATGTTCTCGAAAGCATGTGCTTCAACCCACTTAGAGAAATAGTCAGTCATAAACAAAATAAATTTAGATTTACCTGGGGCCGATGGTAGAGGGCCGACGATATCCATTCCCCATTTCATGAATGGCCATGTGGATAAGACTGAGTGGAGTTGCTCTCTAGGTTGGTGAATCATCGGCGCATACCTTTGACTTTTGTCACACTTTCGAATAAACTCTTTTATATCCTTTTTTATATTGGCCCAATAGTATCCTGCTCTGATGTCTTTGTGAACCAATGATTCGGCACTGGAATGATTTTCGCAGGTGCCCTCGTGGATTACTCGTAGGACGTAGTCGGTATCTCCTGGTCCCAAATATATTGCCAATGGTCCATCAAACATCCTTCTATATAGTGTTCCATCTTCGGCCAATGTGAATCGTACGGCCTTCGTACGTAGAGTCCTCGATCCTGATCTTTGACTGGTACCGATTATGTACATCAGCCCAGGTTATCGCTCGATATTCAATTAAATTCTGCTTTAGTTGTCGTGATGCCACCGAACTTCGGGATACTAATTGATAAATATGAAGATTAATAACAGAAATAAACTATAAAGTAAAGCAAACGAGTGTTAGAATGGAACTCAACCCTTAAGTTTGGATACCCTCGAACTGGTTGATGTAAGAACAATTAAAATATAACAAGTTGATGAACAATAGTATAAACGAGAAAGAAAATTATATTGCTTTGATATTTGTGAATAATGTATGTTACAAATGATTAGAACCTCCCTTTAAATAGTAGAGGAATTCCACTTATGGTATAATTCTATTTACGGAAGGAAATCTCATGATTAACTAATTAATCGTTTCTGATTTGATCAGTTCCGAGATTTACGCCATGATCCTCGACCAGTCACGGATATCTCACCTTTCTATTATTGTGCTATCTTCGATCTTACTCGATGTCTGTCTCATTTGGCTTTGATCGTTACTAGCCTCGATCTCAACAGTTACCTCGATTCTGAACTCGGTACCTTATCCTCGTGATTTGGTCTGGAACGTTACGTGGTCATCCTTCGATACAATCTCCCAATCTCGGTCAAATAGTAAAATCGGGTTCGGGTGAACCCGATTTTAACCGTATACAGTATCAAAAGCCTGAGATTTTGGATATGAATGCCGGATATATTGAGCACCGTAGTGCGCTTTTAATGTATATTAATTATACATAAAAACAATGGCTGGAGCCTGGAAACGTGTTTTCATTGTGTGTGTGTGTTTTTAATATGATATTATTATTATTATTATTATTATTATTATTATTATTATTATTATTCCAAATTACCTGGGAAACGAACACAAACATTTTTCTTCTTTTCTCATTTCACTCGGACACTGCTGCAAAATAAATCATCTCCAACCTCCCATTCTCTTTACTCCATTTATACAAACAAACAAAAAAAATGGAGGACAAAAATCCACCCACAAAACCTAGGGTGGTATGTTGTATAGGTGATATCCATGGCTACATAACAAAGCTTCAAAATTTATGGTCAAATCTTGAATCTTGCATTGACCCATCTGATTTTTCCACTGCACTTATAATTTTCTTGGGTGATTACTGTGATAGAGGTCCAGAAACTCATAAAGTTTTAAACTTTTTAAATTCTTTGCCCTTAAAATACCCAAAACAAACCCATGTTTACCTTTGTGGGAATCATGATTTTGCTTTTGGAGCATTCTTGGGTGTACTACCAAGTCCAGTTGATGGATCTGAATTTAAAGAAACATGGAAAGAATATGAAATGAATGAGGAAAGAGAAGGGTGGTATAAAGGTGAAGGCTTTGAGAATATGCATTTACAAGGGAGAAGATGGGCTGGAAATCATACTGTTAAGTTTAATACTATAAAGGGTATTGAATATAAAGGTTCTATTTATGATGCTGCTCCTACTTTTGAATCTTATGGTGTTCCTCATGGTTCTGCTGGTATAATTCCTTAATTTCCTGTCCCCTCCTTTTTTTTGTGTGTTTTAGCTTTATTATTATTTTTGTTTTATATAATATTGGCCTATGATGAGTTTATATGGAGTAATGTTATTAGTGAGGATTCATATAGTCAACTAAAACTTGTTTGGGACTAAGATGCAGTTGGGGTGGTTGTTGTTGTGGCTTTTCTCTGTTGAATTGGTTGTGCTAGCAGCTATGTTACGCCGACTCTCCAAGATGCTGCCGCACCCATGTCGGATCCTCCAAAAATGTACTACTTTTGGGGGATACGACACGCACCGGGTGATATTTTCGGAGAGTCTAGGCAACATAGGAGCAGTGATGGACAAAACATTGAAAATTAGGTATGGTTTTTTATTTTCCCTTCCTAGCTGATGATGAATTTTGGACCTCTGAGCTATTTCTAGAAATGTTATCTTTTTGTTTTTTTGTTTTTTTTTGGTCTTGTGTATAGGAAGTGTTTCATTTGATGGTTGTTTTCACAATGATAGTGATTTTGGATGTTTCTTCTTTAGCTGATTGTAAGTTGAAGCTTTTGTACTGGTGTTTCCGGGTGGTTCCAGTTATCAATAGCTTGTCTTTTTTCCCCTTATATTGTGGTTCCTAAGTCCTAATTGCATACTTGCTTACTCTACTTATGGATCCTCGTATTACGGTCGTAACTGCATAGTACTTGTTTACTCATGGATGCGGTAGTACCAATAGTATACAGGATGGTGTTCCGCGATACATGATATTTGCATATGATATGGTATTAGTTGATGAAATGGAACAAAAGGGAGACATTTAGAAGTTGGAGCTACTTATAAGTACTGTAGAAAGTAAGGGTATTAGGAAAAGTGGAAGTAAGATAAAGAGAAAAAGTTTTAGGTCCGATAAGTATAAAGCAAGAGGAAATATGCGCAATTTTAGCACCATAAGAAGGACTGTGAGGTTAGATTAGACAGAACTTTGGTGTATAAATGAAGACAATTCAAAAATCTAAGCACAATCTTCCGGGAGAATGGCATGATAGATGAAGATATAACACAAATTGAACTAAAATAGGATAGTGAAATGGAATGGTATAATGGAAGTGTTACATGATTGGATGATAATTAACAAAGTGTCTGTAGAACACTTGTGAAGATAGTAAAACCCAACATATCTGCAAAATGAAATGTTGCAAAAATGCAGAAGGATATTTGACCATATGAGATTGGGCAAGATCTCCAACAAGGGTGCAAGTAGCACAAATAGATTTTAAATGAGAAAAATATTACCCAAGATTGTTTGACCATATGATCCATATAGGCATTATCAATTAGCTAGAGTAAGACTCAGTTGTTATTGCACTTGCATTAGGTTCAATATTTTCGGGGAGTCTTCTTATTATAGTTAGGCTTATTCCCACGTAGAAAATAATTGTGAGACTAAGAAACCCTCTAAATTTATAGAAGTGAGTAGTCAAAGGCGAAAAGCTTTAAAATGTGCTTAAGGTTTATTGGGGCTTTACGCGAAAAGCGCAACTAACATGTGGGCTTTCGTAAAAAAGGTGCAATGAAGAAAAAAATAAAAATACATTTGTAATGCAAGAAATAACAAATTCATTCTTAATGTTTTTCTTAACATCGAATATACCTATTTGCTGATTATATTTATTGTTTAGTTTCGTACTACTCGATTCAAGATAGAAAGCATGGACGATAAGGCGTGCACCTTAGTGCCTTGCCTACTCTAAAGTGCAGCTTAAGCGAGGCGAAACGCCCTCCCTGAGCTTTATTGAGCTTCAGGGCTTAAGCGCGCTTTAAATGGCCCTTTGACAACTACAAATTTACTTTAAAAGACAAATCATCTAGTACCGGAATGAAATGAGTTTTTATTGAGCGCAATGGGTACTTTGGATTAACATAACTGACTCTTAACTAATTTGGGATTGCAGCATATGTTATTGATTGACCATCATAATGTGTTATCTTGATTCTATATCGGAGGATTATGTGTATCAATTCCTTGTTGGATCACCTAGTTTGATTTGGGTGGTGATCGTTCAATTTTTAGTTCAACTTCTGTCTGGTTTCTCTTCTTTATCAGTGTAATGTGTTCTATAGTTGTTCATATCATAAAGAAATGTGTGTTTTAGTGATAAGTTTCTATTTTCCTCCGCTTTGAAAATAGGTGTATAATGTGACATGCGGCTCTTATTGAGTGGAATGCTCATTTCATATAGGCGTTGTTCCTTCCTGTCGTGCTCAAGATTGTCCCTTTTTCATATGGTGTTGGGTGGACCTGAGGAGAATTTGATTGCTGATGAACTACCTGTCAACACGCCCACCCNTGGTAAGTTCTTTTGTCTTCACTATTCTTTCCTTTCCAAATTTTCTTCCCTTCAATTTTTCCGTGACCACCTTAAGTAATTCTTGATTGTCTTATCGAAAAAATATGTGCTTAATTTTTGTTTATGCTTTATAAATGAACTCAAGAGTGTTCATTGATCATGTCATTTCTTGGCCAACTTTCAACGGTATGTTTCTTTCTTTTGCTTTCTAGGACGATGTTTGCATAAAAACAGAGGAAGGAATTAAAAGGTGCAAACTAATTGCTGTTCATGCTGGTCTGGAGAAAAACAAAGCTGTTGAGGAACAGATTAAAACTCTTAAAGCAAAGGACACAAGGATTTCTAAGGTGGAAGCCCTTAGCGGAAGGAAGAACGTATGGGAAATCCCTCAGGTAATTGCTTCAGGGAAACGCGATTATGGCTCCATTCGTCTTCGTCATTATATCATGTTAAATGAAGATGAAAATTGATTGTTGTTGAATCTTTTTTTTAGGAACTGACTAAAACTCCAACAATCGTCGTAAGTGGTCACCATGGGAAATTCCATATTGAAGGTTTAAGACTGGTAATAGATGAAGGTGGTGGACTAGAAGATAATCCAGTGGCGGGATACTGATCGTTTGGTGAAATAGACTATGGTTTGTGTCAAATTTATTGACCCTTTCTGTTTAAAACAGAAATAACCAAAGTAAATTGCAATACCAAAAAAAACACGACTCCAGTGGCTTTTGGATCAACAAATAACTCGTATTATGTTGTAGATGTAGTCAATAGATTTACACAATAAGCCTGTATTGAACAAACTTCAAGCCTGTCGAGAATCATATTATATTGTAGATTCTCTACTTTTTGATATACTGCTTGTATAGGAGACTTTCTCACTAGTAGTGAAATTATTTACCTTATCACAAAAAGAAAGAAACTTCATTTATATGTTACAACCAATTCAGTTAACTTTGTAGACAATTTTGGTGATAGGTGACTCATATTGCCTTGTGCAAAGTCATGTTTTGATGGTGTGCTCTCTTCTAGCTTGATTGTGTCAAAAAGTTGAGTTAATCCCCCTTTATACATGCAGTCTTGATTGCCGGTTAGAAACATTCCAAGACAAAAATAGATGGGCGGGGACAACTAGTTGCTTTTAGTTGCTTTTTGCAAACTCAATTAAAGAGCGTTATGAAAGTCTCTCTATTTCGTAAAGTAGGGGTAAGATTGTGTACACACTATCCTCTCCAGAACTCACTTGTAAAACTATACTAGGTTTGTTGTAATTAAAGAACGTTATGATTTATTTTTTTTTCAATAACCATGATGTCCGGAAAAGCTTGTGTGCACCTCGACAAATTCCACGAGATACCAACTATCTTATCGTAGTACTGAGTAATTCTGTCCACCAAAACTTAGACAAATAGAAAGAAGTCACCTTATGTTTTTTTCTTCGCTAGGTTTTGAAACCTGATACTTCATGCTTTTCAATAGCATGAAATTAAAAAAATATGTAATGACAAGTAACCGTAAAGATAGCAAAATTTTCTTGTCTGCGTAACTTTTTTGGTCTACCAAATTCCCTACGCTACAGGCTAATGTCAAAAACCAGCAATAATGCTTCGACTCAAGCTCTCGTGGGAATATGCTTTGCAGCTTCTACCTTAGACGTTTAGGATTGGAGTTGTGACCTTAGATACAAGGTCAGTCCCATCCAAGGCACTCCTCTCTTCTATGCGCGCAACACCCCC